CGCTCCCTCCGGAGTGGCACACGGGCCGTTTGCTGCCGGCTTTGCAACTCTGGCTGTCCTCGGCAGATGCACCCAAGTGGTGCCATCCATCCATCCATCCATCCATCCATCCATCCATCCATCCATCCATCGTCCCTGATTTCCTGGCTGAACGCCTGCTTGGCGGGCGGTGGTCGCAAGCACAGCCCCCCACTGCTTCGCACGGGGTTGTCAGCATTTGCCAGAAGTCAAATGTGCTGGAAGGAGTAAGATGTACAGCGTTGCTGACAGCTTTCTACAGACAGGAGTCTCCTGGCTAACATACACTTATTTAAAATAAAATAAAATACAGGTAGAAGGAAAAATGGGCAAGCTTTGTTGCTTCATCAGGATTTCACATAGATGCTCAGCAGTTCTGTTTGCCCCCTGACATTTGCCACCAGGGCACAAGGAAATCTTCAAGGAAAATCATGAACTTCATGTATTCCTCAGTGGAAGGCAGAGAACAGGGAGCTCTGCTTCCCTCCAAAGTGTTCAAGTTTCACCCCAAGGCAGAGACAGCAGCAGCAGCCATCCTCAGTGCCTGTCTCCATCTTGGGCCACCTTTGTGAGGGTAGGGAGGCATTCAGATACTCATCAAGTAACTTCGTATCATCCCGAAGTCTACTGCATACCATTAGCAGGACACATGCCACGACTGGGAAGCCAGGTTATATATTATAGACACTATGGCTTTTCCCATTTTTAGATACTCTCCGCTGCTCTTTAGCTACTGCAACTTTCTCAAAAAACCTCCTTCTGGACTACTTACAGCAGAGGGATCCCATCAGGGAGCCAAAAGGCTTTTGTTTAATCAAGGTACAATCCTTACAAGCTGCATATGGACAGCCAAGATACCTAAGGGTGGCTTTGAGGGAGATCAAAAGGAAAGTCTCCATGTGATCCTTGTGCTTCATGCATCCCAGAGGAAGCCTCACATTCCTCTCTCTGCTGCTGAGTTCAGGATTTCAGACACATCAGTTGAGACCCATCAAAAGAGGGGGAAGAAGAGATGCCAAAACAGAGTGCCCTTTTGTTTCACAGCAAGACATAATCTCTTAAGGTGTGGTCTGGCCTCTCCTGAATCAATCAGGGATGGGATTTGAGCCTCAAAAATCTCCAAGTCTTTTCTGGGGCTACAGAGAAAAACTAAAAACAAGAACATGTCTTGGAAAGACCAGTCTTTAAAATTAAACCAAACAAGTGAAAGTTTCAAGTTAACTGAACTGCATTATTGTCAAATCAATGCTTGACCAAAATAAGTGAGAAGGAGCTCCAGTCTCAACAAATATCAATGGCTGAAACCTTTTGATGAGTTTTCTGTAAACTATGGGAGCAGCTGGAAAGGACAGCCTTTACCATAAAGATAAACAAGCTTTACTATAGATAAATAAGGAAAGAAAAAATGTCATTTTGCCTTACCAATATTCATTCACCAACTCACAAGATAAGGTGCTACCACAGAAAACGAATCCAGGATGTAAAATAGACACACTGAAATGCTTTCCACCCAGCATGATCCCGAGCAGTTCAGCACTCCAAATTAGATGTCAGAGCAACCCCCGCTGGTTCAAGTTTTCCAAAAACACTCCCTGTGAGACTACCAACAGCTGTCCTGGGTGTGCACCAAAGGGGTTTTGTTGTTAGATGGATGCATTAAAAATCACTGCAAGAGGACAAGTTATGGCCGAACCTATTTCAGACAATCAGCATCTCTAAAGTCATTTTTGCTGATGGTGTAGACAGCTCTCAAGAACCTGTGGCTGCTTTCCAAGAATTTTAGATGCTAATTAGCATGGTTTTGCAGCACAGTCTGTTCAGCAAATCTCAGTCTTAGCAAGTACCAAAATGTGACTACTAATAGCATAAACAGCCCATGCCTGCAGCCCTCACATGTTCCTACTGACATTGACTGGAATTGGAACCCTTAAGAAATTGGTGGGAGTTAAATGTGTAGGACTCAGCCCTAATTAACGTGAATAGTATCTTCTCAAGCTCAGTGCATATCTTCTCTGGTTCAAATGCCCCCGTTTTCCACTACATTAGAAACCTATCACTGCAAACTCTGGCCTTTCACACTTTTGCACCTGCTTTGGTTCTCTTTCACATTCACTTCCCAGAGACATTAGGTTTTCTTCTTTTTATAAAATCAAGCTTCATAATTCCATTGATCTGTTAGTTGCTTAATTAAAAACCCTAAACATTTCACTAAACCTATAGTCCTTTCTCTTAAGGGAACATGCAACCGAAGCTTTAAATGGCATTTCTGCAAGTGTTG